CATTGTATAATGCTATACGATATTATATATGATATTTCTTTATATATTATATGTGTGTTGGTATATAATGTGTTACATATTTATAATATTTATATCATTTTAGATATAATTTTCCAGCAGAGCTAGATATATCTTGATGAAATAACTTTAATATTTGCCTAGGTTTTGTGGTCTGGTCTTTCGGGGACCCCTGTCTGTTCAAGAAGACTGGATAAAGCACTTGCAGCGGCACATTGTCAACGCAAATCTTCCACGGACTGGAGCTGGCATGGTCGAGGTCACATCACTACTTAAAAAGCCTGCTTCAATTACTGAAACTTCGTTTTCTTTACTGATGGCAGAAGCAGCATCATAGAACGAGGAAACATTTTAAATTTTGATTGGGTGTAAATTTGAAATACTTTGTCATTTTTTTAAAATAAATTGCTACACTAAATTATGTTTATAAATGCTCACGACAGAAAACCAGAGGAAGCGGATTACAGTAACATCAAAATAAGTTGAATACTTAACAGTTACAGTAAGTAGTCTTTATATTTTCTATAGGGTGGCAGATGTGTTTTTAAGGTTTATTCTGTTTTTGTCGGTTACTGTGTTCACTCTCAGTACGAGACCATCACAAGTATGGCAGCCATTTCTAAATTGTTGCACATGGGTACTTAAAAGGCAGATTTTAATAAAACCAAGAAACCGTGTTCTCTTCAGTGTTACCCAAATCAAGGCTCTGTTGATTCCAAAAAGAATTACATAGTAAAATAAGATATTATTCTATTTTGTTTGTATGTATGTAGTGTTTTGTATAATACCGAGAACTGCTAATACAATTTACTCAACTTAGGGCATTAAATATCCTGTACTTCATAGTTCAAGAGACTGTTTCATTCAGATAGGGCAATTAGTACTATTCTATCTAGGTGTGTAAGTGTTTTTTTTAAATCACATGAGGCTTTTTGTACTAAAAAAAAGTGGAGGGAAACTTGTTTAAACAAATTTCTAAGAGAAAATATGTACATAATACTGGAAATTTGTGGTAAGGAAATATTCTTTACTTCAGTTGCATTTCTCACTGACAATAAAGTGGTGCATCCATGCTACCTCCTACTTGTCAACAAAGATGGTATTTACCCGTATGTTTTTGTATCATAGTAGATTCAATCCGAGTTTCTTTATTACGAAGCATCTTTTTGTTAACAAGTTTGTTTCTTTATGATGATTTACTCCAAGTCTGACTTGCTTCCAGAAGTTTGCCTCTCTCCTCTTTTATTTAACACTGTAGAAATGTACTAATAAGCATTGCTCACTACACGGTTAGAGTAGACTTTTCATTTATAATTCTGTTTAAAAGATTTATCATTAGGGAATTCGAACACAGATTGAAATGTTTCTACATATGAAGAGAATGTTTACAACTTTAAAATTTAGAGCTTGTTTTGGATGTGATTATATGTATGAAAACTGTAACACTATGCTCATGCTAAGGACCTACTTACAGAATTACCGAAATAAATGTGCTGTGAGGATGGAAATATGGTGCAGGTGTCTTGGTCATGATAAATTGTGTTTGTTCATTTAAACTGTCTTCAGAACATCATTTTTTTTTGTTTAAATCCAATCAGATTCCTCTACAAATCAATTTTGTATGCAAGTAACATTTCATTTTACTCATATAGGGTAACAGATACTGTAGTTAAGCCAAGGATATGCATTGATATTTTCGTTATATGTAAATAAAGTTAAAGCAGTTAAAGCAAGAGGAGTATTTTGGTAGAGTATATACATACCTCACTGCCAGTGAAATTGCTTTCCTATGGTATATCTCCTTACCAGAAAAATCTCTAAATAAAAAGGTTTAAAGAAAATCTAAATGTCTATAATGTGAAGCATTTATTTGCATTGTGTGAAATTAAGTTTGTGAAATGGATTTTGTCGTGCTTGAGATTAGAACCTTCTCATGATCTGAAGTAAAAAGTACATTTACTTGCAATAAACTGACTTGTTCGCAGACGCATTAACACTTGATTGGTGGAAAATGTGAATATAAACGTCTGTCTTCCTGTGCGTGCACCAGGTTTGTGCAGGTTGTGGTGCAATAGAAAACACGGAGCCAAGGCCGGGGTCCTGAGCCCAGGCCATCCCAGCTCTGTGAGGGCTGTCACGAAATCAGTGACGCTTTGCCACAGCTAACTTTATTGTCACAGTTTATCCCCTTTCTTATTGTAAGCCAGAAAATCTCCATCGATGCATGTAAAGGCTGGAGGAAAAACTACTTCAGAGATTTTAGGAAAGACAAGTGGGACGTTGTAGTGCGTGTATGCAGACTAACACATTTCTCAATTTGAATGGCTGTGGGATTTTTTCTTACTCTGCAAATGGAAGATTTATAGCAATGCCTTGAAACAGAGTTGAGGGAAGTGATTGAGTCACCTTGAATGTCTATAATGCTTTAATAGAGTGCTTGTTTACCCTTCTCACCAAAAAAAGGTGCTTGGAGAGCACCCTATTTTGTGGCTGTTTAGCTGATGAAGTAATTAAGTGCAAACGCTATTTATCCAGTATTGTTCATTATTCTTGTGAGGTGAAGCCATACCGTGCGGAATTTAGCAGTAGCAAAAAAATAGTAGGTTCATAATAATAATTAAAAAACCTAGTTAATTCTTTTTAATTCTTAAACCCCAATAGCGAGCTCTATGTGTGACACTGAAATAAATGTCTGAATTTCAGGGAGCTCTGGGCCTGGGCAGGTTTCTAAATGAGATTTTTTTGGTTAGGAGCAGCAGTTCTCCATGGGAGGATTTCTGAGGGGTGCACTGAGCTGTGCGCCCTGCTCGCATTGGGTCCTTGACAAGACAGTTTGAAATATATCCTGATGTTCTTGAGCCCGTCTGATTATTAAATTAATTGCATATGATATTGATACAGAGTGAATTAATTTTATTATTATCATTATTTTTTAAGAAACATAATAATAGAGTACCCTTAGGTTTTCTTGAGCCTGTGGTCCTGAAGTGGAGCTACTTGTTTGCTTGGTTTCTGTTTGGAAATACAGCTCTCCTGTCACTACCTACCAGGAGATATAAATCCCCTTTTCCAGAGTTATAGAGACTCTAAATAACCTGGTAGATGAGAGTTAATTAAGTCAGTCTCTTTATTATATGAATCTGGTGTTCTGAGATGTGTGGCTCGCAAGGCTCAACGGCAGCCTGTGATGAAGAGCTGGACTTCCAGAATTGCACATAGAAACCCCTTTGGGGTAGAGGCTGCAGTGGCATCGTGACGTTGGATTGAGTTTGGTTCTTTATCACAACCTTGGGTGTTTCTGGAGTTACCCTGCTTGCTGCTAAAGCTCTCTTCACTTTGGAAAATTACAAAGGCATTTCCAGAATGCTTAGAGAAGTGGTAGGAGACCACCCCCCACGTTTTGTAAGATGATGGCCTGCGTGCCCCGGTCCCAGTGATATTCTCAAATCATCTTAAAAAAATTAAAGCTCTTGTTTGCATTGCTTGAAAAGAGGTTTCTGCAGGGCCTTGGAAAGGCAGTTTGAAAGTGCCTGCGGTAGCCGCTGCCAAGCTGTGTGCGTGGAAAATGGGAGGTGGAGGCAAGTGGATAACACGTTGATTCCTGGGTGTTTACTCCAGTTTGCCGTGTACTGCTCCACGGGGGTTGTGTGAATTGCATGGGCGGGCTGCTCTGTCTGCAGGTCCAACTTCTTCCTCAGGGCTCCCCTTGCCCAGCCAGCGGTGTCAGGAAATGAGCTGCTGAGTCCTCTGGATGGGAGAAGAAGTGCACCCCGGGCAGTAGTTCACAGGAGGGAGCATGAGCACCGACCATGCCAAAGATGGGGATTTAACCGCTGGGGTTCATGTCCTGGGCCGGACTTTCCGTGTTTGAGCTGTTCAGAGTCCTCCCTTTTCAGCCAAGGTCTCTGAGGTAAGTGGATCCATCCCAAGTTTCGGGAGGTCAGCGTCACGGGGTTGAGATGGGGACATCCGTTTCTGCCAGGCTGTTTTGACACCAGTGCTTTTTTGGGGGCAGTTGTTGGTTCTAGGTTATCCTACATGCTTTAGAGAGGGGTTATTCATTAAATCTACCCGATTCTGGAAAGCTACAGAAGATAAATGCAGGCTGAATAAATGTGGAAAACTTGACAGCAAATAACAAGTACTTGCTCTTAACTAAATGGTAAGGGCTGTGGAAGAAAATTGTTTAGTTGAGCACTACGGTTAACAGACTTTTCCACTTTTTATCACAGTAGTTAATGGCCTGGATACTTAAACATCAGTTTCATCTTTAAAAAAGAGAAGTGTTTATATAGTTTTGACTTTGTTTAAAAAAAAAATAGGATGGTACTTATTTAAAGAAGCCGACTGCGTTACGGTTTCAGATACTTTGATCTGCTATGCTTTGTAGGTGCCGTTGCCTGATACATGGGTAGCAACTTTGATGTAATGGAAACGTTTGGCCGTAGTGCCAGGTCTGTAATCTCTCGCAATAAAAATGTTCCTTTTTCACACCGCAGGCTGCTTGGTGTTCTTCCCATTGCTCCGAGCTGAGCCGCGCAGCGTGCGTCACTTAGACCAGCACTGCCACCCTGAAACGTGGCTGTGTGAGGCAGAGGGTGTCCTGCAAAGGAGGAAACCCTGTTAACGTCAGTGCCCTGTTCCCGTATTAAGGCTTGAACGTAAGGCAGCTGGCATAGAAACTCTTTAGTAATACTCAAGTGCATCAGGTAGAAAAACCTCGTGGTCCAAGTAGCCAGTGCTGGCTGCAGCGCTTTCCCCTTGGGGGAGCAGTTTTGGTTGCCTTGGTGCAAATGCAGCAGTGTGCCAGGACGGGAGCTGGAGGGCTCTGTGTCCTGTGCTGCTGCTTACGGAGTTGGGTTGTGCCTGCTGACCACAGACTGACGGATGTGCTGTTGTTTTGGCTAGAAATAAAGATGGGAATAAATGCATCCCTGTAGGGATGCTCCTCTTTAGGTGGAGGCCAAGTTTGTTATAGAAGCCCTGCAAGACTTTCCTTGTGCAGGCTCTGCAATTAAAACCCAAGCAAATGGCATCCTCGGTGAGCCCAGAGTCCTGAAAATCACGACTCATACTGTCCAGTGGGGGGTGAAGGGAGCCCTTGAGCCTTCTCACAGCTTCCGAAGAGCTTGTACTGCACACGTTGAATTAATCACAGCACTGTTGGGCTTTCTGTCGTATACTTTACTCAAAAGTACACTGTTAACTTGTGACAGCTGAGGTTTACACACAAAGTGATGGTGATGATCTCTCTGCTTTTGTGTCAGAGACCTGCAACATGCAACACTCTGACATGGTGTTTGTGATGAGTGTTCCTAAATACAATTACCACTCTTAAAAAATCTGTTAGTCAGAAACTTCATGATTAAACATCTGATTTCGTATCATTAAGCCAGCAGCAACTGGGAATTGTGTTTGTGACTCTCTGTGAATACATCCAAACCCATCCTCGCTGCTGCAGCAACGAATGCTGAAGCTCTGGGTCCTGTTGTGCTTCAGCAAAGAAGCGACTGATAAAGCAGAATGCAAGCTCCAACACCATTAACCTGTGTTCTAACCAAATAAGGAGCTGTGTGTCACTCGGGTACAAGTCTTGCTGACAAGAAATATTTCTTTCATCTGTCTCATCCCCGAAAAAAAAAACAATTGTGTGAAAGTAGGAGAAAGAAAAGAGGCTTATTTGGATAAAGGAGAAGGGGGAAAATAATAACAAACAAGCAAACAAAAGCCCATAGGTTGAAGCAGAAGCTGCAAACAGGGGCAGACAGTATAAGCCTGAGGTTGACACTTGTTTTGTAGTCTCGGAAATCCAGCTGATGGCTGCGTTTGCTGTGCCTCCAAATCTTCAGGGGTGCGTTTGGGTTCCTGGCAGAGAGGAGGTTAGGGCAAATATTATCCTTAGCTGAACAGTCAAGGAATAAGTTGTAACCCCAAACTGTTAAAGAAATAGACAGTGACAGGGAAAAGAGGTTTTAAATCCAATTTCCTGTGCTGGAAATCTGTTGTACCCATTCCCTTTGCCATCTCGAATATGTTTACTGATGCTTTTTAAGTGCTGCGTAGAAACCCATAGACACTGGGTCCTGTCATGACGGAGCATGAGCCGTTCTTCCCATGTGTGGCCTCAGCCACAGATTTGGTACTGAAATCGGAATTTTCCAGGTTCTGTTGGTGTAGGGATTACCATTCGCTGCCTCCAAAAAATCTCTTTACTATTTGGCATCCATCATTTCATGACATTCTCTTCTCATTGAAACAGCCTCCGCTCCCAAACCCGGTGTTCTCTGCAGCCGACCACGAGCGCTAACGAACGCCTGAAGACCCCGACCCAGAACGTGAGTGTTCTTCCAGGACCCCAAGCTTTGCCCCCAGGCCCCGGTTCCCATCTGGGGAGGGTGCTTAGCCGCGTCTCACTGGGCTGCTAACCTGACCGTTTCCATTATCCTCATTCCTAGCTTGGCTTGTTTTCCCTTTCCTCAATGTTTGCTTATATCCACATTTGCTTTTTCTTCTTGATTTTTCATCTCTCTTGTTCTTTAGGACTTTATTTTACCACTGGCTACCAGTGATGAAGCTTTTTTTGGAGGGGAAAGTCCTACAAGCTGTATCGCCGTGAACACAAAGTATTGCTGAGCACTCGTAAAAGCATAGCTAGTGGCCTGATTTCTGATTTACTTCATACAGAGACAGTCTGTAGCTGTCTGTACCTAAGTGATGGGGAGAGGAGGAGATGTTTAGGTTTTAAAGTGACTTTGGAAGAGAAATTACAGGACAAAAATGCCAAGTTATGCCCAAGTTGGTTGCAACCCAGGACTCTGGAGCTGGCTCTGCTGTAGCCTCATGAGTTACCTGGCGT